ATATATAAGTTTTGTGAAATAGTTAAACAAAAATTATTTTAATCAACAAAAAAACTATTCTTCATAACATATTTCAACATGATAAATTTGAAGAAATATAACAAATAAAACAAAAATAAAAATTCAATTTCAAACCAATTCAATGAATAAAGATTCTTAAAGCTAAAACTTCTGAATCCAAAACGGGATCCATTTGCAATGAAATTTTAAACAACACTTTACCATCAATCAAAGTTCATAACGGAAAAAAAATCACAAAATACCAAACAGATTATTTATTACTAAATTCTCAAATTTATTACAAAAAAACTACCAGAAATTCAAAATAAATATAAAAAAATTATAAAAAAATCAAAAACTTCAAAACTAATCAACTTCAAACATTTAAACATGTTTCTAATACAGTGTATAGGAAGAAATTGAGGTTTTCTCGCATCAAATGCCCACAAATCGTCGGTTCAAGCACATAAAAAATACAAAATCAACAATACAAGTCAACTACAATTTAAAACTAACAAACCCATTTGAAATACAACAGATTTTTATAGTCAAAACATTCAAGAAATCAAGAAAAATTGAAAAGAATGAAAGAAGAAGACACTCACATAGTAGAGATGATTCAAATACGAAAAGAGGGGCGTTCAAACGGCGGCAGACAGTGGCGAACGGCGGCAAGACACCACAAGCTAAATGGATGAGTTTAAATGGTGGGGGGAGTGGGGGGAATGGCCAGTAATGGAAGTTTTTTGGTGGTGGGACAGAGGGGGACCACGGCACAACTGAAACAAAAGTGAAAATGAGAGAAAACGAATACACCGTGTAGGGTTATTTTAAAACTTTCCACGGCGGTTATTAAGAAAACCGCCGTGGAAAATCAACACTTAATCAACTTATTTATAAAAATGCCGCCGCTTTTTTTTTTCACGTTGTTTTTTTGATTAATCGCCATTATTTGGCGACGTTAAAAGTCTTTTTTCTAATAGTGCCAAACAAGCATTATATATAATTGTTCAAATGGACCACGAGAGTGCATGTATGTGTATATATATATATGGCATTTTTTTAAAGTTATTTGAAAGTCTTCGGTCCAGAGATGTAGGTATTCAAAAGTTTTTTTTAAAAGTAATATCACATTGAAAGTGTTAAAAACATAACAATGATGTATCTCTCATTAGGAAAGTCAATTTTTGCTTGTCGTAAGTTAATTTTGAATGTTAATTGACCCAATTTTATTGAATTGGCTCTAACATATCATGTATTAATACACAGACAAATATTCACATACCTAAGATATTACAAGATATGTTGAATTAAGATTTAAATTATTATTGAGAAAAGCTCTTATATGTATCTAAAAGTATCTCGAACTGTCGAACATGATTGTCTACGGGATAAGAATATAGGTACACATCCAAAAGAAAATAAACTAATTAAAAAAAATTAAAAGACGTGCCGTGTATAAGACGTGTTTAGGTGTTTTCGATCGTGCGTTGTCCACGGGCTAAAGTGTAGGATGGTCTTTCAGAATATAATAATGTACTCCTCCGGTCCTTAATATAGGATTCAATTATTAAGTTGGTTTTGGTCCTAAATATAAGATCCATTTCTCATATTTGTTAATTTTCTCTAAATTACCCCTCTACATACTCCCTCAACCATAATCAAATAGAAGAGGAAGATGAGGTATTAAGAAAGATAATTATGGTATTTTAGGAAAAACATGTCACATTTCTTATAATTAACTTACCTAACTTCCTTAATCTAATCAAATTAGTTAAATAAGTCTTATATTAAGAATCGAAGGAGCATGTAAGTATTTGTCCCTTTGTTTGTTTAGTTAGGATAAAGTGAAAATTAATATGGGATAAACATGTGGGGACAAACTAAATCATGTGGATTAATGGGGAAAAAAAGCAGCCATTTTGATAACATTTAATGATTTGTACATATTTAGTCAAATTTAATTATATCCTAATTATAAAATCTCGTTTATAGTCTATAAATAAAGTCTTATAATTAGAACCGAAGGTAGTATATTGTTATGTTTATATTTATATAGAGATGACTCTCCACTGTGACATAATTTTTTTTTTTCCGGAACTTTCATTTTTGTTTTTATTTTCGACTTCTGAAAATAGTTTTCTTTGCTCTTACAATGGGATCTAGAAGAATATTTTTGAATTGGAAATTTTTAAGAAAAAGAGGTAAGTCTCTATATATATTTTATATGAGATGTGACAATAATAATCTGATTTGTTATAAATTAATTTTTAAGATCAGTATTAATAAAGATATTGATGATTATACATATACTTTTATTATATTTTTCATTTAAATAATTATATGAAGTGTATCGTATGCTATATATAATACTACCAGTGATGTATGGGCTGATAAATGGATTGGTTGAAGTGCACCGCAATGATTTTTAAAATACAAAGAGTTAAATTACAATATTTTTAAGTATTAAAAATAACCAACATTTGTAGTAGAAACTAGAAAGTTAAATTAGTTCCAATATATATCATCCAACACAATCGTTTTTTTTTCCATTAATTTTCATACTTTAAAATTTTCATATTAGTACCCAGGAGGTTGGGTCTGACCGAAAGATCTTAGTCCTTGATAGCATAATGAATCAATGTTTAAATCCCAACTAGAAGAAGTACCCATATTTAATGCCAAACAATATTTTGAATAAGATTGCTGGAGGATACCTATGCCCATAAAAAAACAGTTTCATATTAGCTAAAGATATCAAAAGTCAAGACACATACTAGTACATGTATAACATAAACACAATAATTTATTTCACAAAGGAACTTTTTTTTTCTTCCGGGGTGAAACACAGTGATGAATTGTCTCACAAAATTTAAATTTATATTTGGAGTTAGCAAGATATGATCAGAAAATATAAAGATAATAAAACTTGCCACTTGCGATCTTTGTGGTCCAACCAAAGCACACACAGAGGGAAATTATTAATTAAGTAATTAAATGAGTATAAAAGGCATACCGTGTATAAGGCGTGTTTAGGAGTTTTGTTGCGTTGTGTGCAGGTGCAGGGGCTGAATGGTAGGGCAGAATCTGAGGATAACCTTTCAGAATATAATAATGGAAAAGTATCTGTGCCGTTGTTGTTTGTTTAGTTAGCAAAGTGATCAGATTAAATTAACAAACCAAGGGGCCGTTTGGTTGGGGCAAAAAGTCTTTCCACTTCTCCTCCACTTTATTTCCATTCACTTCCCATCTTAACTATTAAGACTGAAAATTTAACGGTCCAGATTTTATATTTTTAAAAATAATTTTATAAAGTATTTTTATTATTTTTTTGAATTATACTGACTAAAATTTAGTAGTTTTATTTGATTTTATTTATTTATTTTTGAAAATTTAACATTTTATTCATAATTTTACAAATATGAAATTTGAACCATTAAAATTTTAATCTTATGACTGAAATGAGAAGTGAATGAAAATGGAGAGAAAAAGAAGTAGAGACACCCCTTGCCCATTTGGTTCAATGCCATCACAGATGTGATCTCATCACTATAAATGGTCTATTTAGTTGAATTTAATGATAGTAAAAAATATATTACCTTGGTGATAAAGATTGCACATTTTTTGATAATGTTTATTAATAGGGAACCCCTATGAATACTCATTGAAGTCATTTTCCCAAAAAATTGTGAATTGTGAATGATCATCAAACGCCGTACTACACACAGAAGTTTCGCAGTGAGGTTGATAACCATTTTCCCAATACATCTAATTTCAAAGGATTTCGTCGGAAGTTGATAAATTCTTTTTTCTTTTCCTTTTCACGGACCACTTATCACTGTTCAAACTTCATATTAATGATGCAAAAAGCCTATCAAGTTGCAGAAATGAAAGGATAGGAAATCGAAAACCTGGGAAACAAAAAAAGAGCAAAATAGCAAGAACAAATAACATTGGAAAAGAATCCATAAAGCGACAACTTTGAATTTGATAATGATGAAGTACAACGATGCATATTGTCTTAACGAAGAGAGAAGAACCAAAAGCAAGAACCCACAAAAAACAAGGGCAGGCCATTAATTCCATTAGGAAATTGTCCTCCACTGAGAGAGGAATGATAGAGTTGATAGGGTTGGTATCTTGAAGAAGCTTTTCTAAATATTTGAGGATTTGAATCATTACTAAGGGTAAACTAGTACTTTTACTATATATATTAATTTTAGATAATTATTAAAAAACATAACTCATTGCACCCGTCTTATAAAACATACCAAACAGTATCCTTGTAATTAATATTACATTACATTTCCATTGCACTGCATTACATTATATTAATCATGACAGGATCCTTCAAAAGTAGCTTTTTAATCATAATTTCGAAGGACAAGATAAATATGTGAGATATTTGTCTCGAATTACATAAATAAATACTTTTGAGAATTCCAGTCATAATCCCAAACAAATACCAAATCATTTGTAGGAGTGGGGAAAAAAAGTCATTTTAATGATTTATAGATTCTCTTTTATAACAATTTGATCTTATTTGGTGCTATTCCCTCCTGCATTTTTTTTCCAGTGAATACTCCCTCATACTTAATATAGAAACTAAATAACTAATTTACGGAAGTTAAAAATTTTATTTATTTATTTATTTGAAAAAAGTATAAGTTGTTTTTTCATATAAAACATTCTCTTTAATTATTATTTGCATTGGAAATATCTTTAATGCATACCATTTTTGTTGAATACTAATAAATATAGCCTCATCTAAAGTGAGTTTAAGTTGAAATATTAACTATGTAGACGATTTCTAGCTCAATGGGACTGAGTTCGACTCTTCATGAATATAATAACTCTGTGAGTTGCATTGGAAGGCTAAAGGATGATCAAAATAAACTGAAATATCAATCAAGTATGCAAGCAAATTCCAAACCAAGAATGGTACATTAATATATTGCTTGATCAAAGTCCATAATAACCAAATTAAGGCACACACAAAGGGACATGAGTTAATATAATTACTGTTCACAAGCGACGAAACGAAAGAAGAGAACACAAATATATTAAAGGACGAAAAGGTTTTTAAACTATGCATTGGGTCTCAGGCATGATGATGAATTCGGGAGATGGAAACTGCAGATATGAGGATGAGAATGAGCAACACAATCACTGCGATGAAAGAGCCAATTAGGGTTCCCGAAACTCGCTCGCAGAAACTGTTATATTGTTGGCAGATTGGAAACCAGTTCGTGTTTGGGTTGCCGTGGTGTGCTACCTCCACGATTGCCGTCGCTGCTGCCGCTGCCGATGTCAGAAACCCCATCGCTACCTGCAGAATCCTTATCAGCTTAATCATTTACAATATAATAATGTCGGAATTAGAATTTTAAGGGAAACTATAACAGAGGAGAGCGGGGGGGGGGGACATTTTTTACGGAGGTACTTACACATTCTTTACCAACAGAATCTTCACGTTGATAGCGGGATTTGAGGTCATAATCTTTTGAGTTATAAGCCAACTTCTCGTTAATTCAACCGACTCTTGTTGGAGAGAGGGGGACATTTTTATCATGACAACTCTATACTTCATTTTAATTTTTTTTAGCAAAAAAAAAAAAAAAAAGCAAAGATTTCTTTTTACAGTAATTTCAAATTTTAAGGTTGCTATTTGTACTTAATATATTCTTCCTTGGTTTGCAAACGTGATCTTCCAACTCGTTTGCAAACGTGATCTTCCAAAAAATTTAACTATATGGCATGTGATTCCTCTGCTTGTTTGTGTGTGTGAGTATATTATATGTCTTCCTAACTACCCTCCTCTTGACTTCAATTTGGAGCCGTTGGGATCGTATAATACTTTAAAATAGTCCATGTCAATAACGCAACGAGATTTATGGAAAGTTTGATAATTTAATTTATTAAGTCGATTACATACTAGTATATAAAAGATTTTTAAATACTCCTCCCGTCTTTGAAGACCTAATTTGGAAATTAATATTGGTTATATATATGTAAGACCTATTTTATATGTTTATCAATTTTTTTTAAATTAACCCTGTTAATATTCTACCAACAATAACCTGTTAATATTCGACTAACAATAATCAAATAGGTGGGGGAGAAAGATAATTAAAAAAGATACTTATAGTATTTTGGAAAAAACATGCTACCTCGTGTCTTAAATATAAAAGCTAATTGGCAATTTTAAATACTCTCCCCGATTCAAAATATAAGCTAAACATTATCTATTATGTTTATCAAGAAACTAATTAAAATCAATTTAAAACAATAAATGTATAAGGCATATATTTGTTTTTCCTAATATACCCTTATTAATGAAGAGAATAAATAAAAGATGTAATAAATGAATTAAAGAGGAAAGAGAATATAGGGGCTAAAATTGGAAAAAAAAACTCATTAAATGCTTGGAAAAAAGTGAATATTATCTTATAAAAAAAAACCAACCCTTTTAAGAAAGTTTAGCTTATATTTTGAACTGGAGAGAGTATACAACTTCAATCCACTTTGTCTTCCAAGCTTATAATGTATTCTAAAAAATATCCCTATTGATTGTAGGATATTTCTACTAAGTGTAATTCCAATATATAATTGAATAAGAGTAATTTAAGAAAGTCAACACATATTTGTTACAAACAACTGACTTAAATAATTTTCTTAATCTCCTCAAATTAGTTATCTAACTCTTACATTAAGGATTGGAGGTAGTGTCATATTAACAAATTTAACTAATTTTCTTAATTTACTTATATCAGTTAATTAAATGTTATATTAAGAATTGTGGAGAATAATTCTATTGATATTAATTCCGCCCGTGGATTGTATATGTCTGGATCTCTTCTTTGTTATATATTATGAGACTTCGAGTTTTGAACATCTCACTTTACGTACGTAGCTTTATCCCTTTCAACTACTCCAAGTGGAAACCCCAGCTCTCCCCACCCCCCCGGCCCCCCCCAAAAAAAAAAACCGGGAATACATAAAACCATCGTCGAGTATTAGTAATATTTTACGTTGACTGTGCATCAATATATCAAAATATAAATTACGAAGTTGAAGACGCATAACTTTTTTTCATTAGCATATGTGAACAAGGTCTTATAATTAGAACCAGAGGTAGTATATATCTATGTATATGTAACCCAAGTGATATATATATACACACACATATATAAAAGAAGAATCAGAATGATTACCGCGTCGAGAAAGAGCAAGAGAATCCTGCTCTTAACTGCAGTGGTTCTGGCTATGTGGAAGATGGAAAGGACAATTGAAAGAACCAGATAGCCACACACAATAGCGTTGCCCAGCACAAAAAACCTGCATCATCATCATCATCATCATTTCAGCATATATACATATATATGGCCACATCCAGCCTTGTCAGTAAGAATAATATGATACACACACACACACATGTAGAGAGAGAGAGATACAAGAAGCTGGGAAGGTCATCGAACTCAGCTCTGAAGTGAACGAACTGAGTGATAAAGGGAAGCCTCTCGTGAGAAGTAGCCATGGCCACAGCGCTACCAAAAGTTGCGGCAATGGCTATGATTCTGAGAACCAGATCCATTACAGAGAGCCCTCTTTTCATCACTCTTCTTGATGCTATTCCCTTTGAAACTACTTCCCCAGCTTCAACTGCACTGCTTCCCTTCATTTTCCCAGTACTATATTGTCTCAGGACCTCTGTGATAATTAAGGGCGACGTGTATGTATATGAATATCTGATAATGTGATTGATGTTGTTGTACGATATGAAACTATCTATATAGAGCTCAAGATGAGCAGTGGCGATGTCCACATTTTGGATTTCACAAGAAGATGACACACACAGAGAGACGAGAACATGGATTAGGTAGTCAAGATCAGAGTGGTTTGGTTTATGAGGAAAATGACACTTGAGGACATCTAAACAACGTTATTTACTTGTGAGGACTATATGGATTCTTGAAATGTTTTAAGTATAACATCAGGGTCTCTTTTTCCAATCAATCCAAATAAAGATCATGGTACTTGACAACAATTAAGAATTTCCTGTTGACCAGAATGTACTCTTTTTATTTTTCTTTTTTCAATATTTTGTTTTGACTTTGATAGTACTCATGATTTGATTCTTTTTCAATCTACATACATTTTTTTAAAAATTTTGTTAAGTACTGGACTTTGTTTTCTTTCGCACTCATCTTTATTTAATTCGTCTACTTTCAAATTTTACATTTATAAAAAAAATTTTCAAGTGAGTTGACAATTTTTTTTTTCATTTGAATCTTGGAAAAGCTTTATATCTAAAGCAATATTAAAGATGAGTGCTGGAAAAAAAATTAAATGTGATGTCAAATATTTAAAACTTAATTAGTATTGAAAAAACTGAAAAAAAAAAATTAAGGATGAATGCTTTAAAAAAGTAAAGAGGAGCTATTTTTCAATACAAAAAAACTTTATCCCCAAGTCCCATAATCCTTCTTTAAAATTTCTGGTGTTGGTGACTATTCTTAAAAGTTTTACAAGCAAGGGTCCAAATGTAACTTTAAATATTCTCGGGGCCCTTTTTGTCGTCTTGAGCTGTCCAAAGGCCACGCGTAACTTGGTAATAGGCAAGCTTTCATGGTGTAGTAGAAGGATGAAAAAAAGGAAACATATAAGAGACCTCGTATTATGCATTATATGTGAAAACAACAAAAGTCAGTTCGAGATCATTCTTCCTGCTCCAATACTTGCATTCTATTAATTCAACTCTTAATAATTTTGGTTAAATATTTAATTTGGTGACATGTGGAGGGTGGGAATGTGACGACCACACGTTTTTTCCCCCCATTTAGACAACAAGCTAATGGATTTTGGGAGAATTTTAGATAAACAATTTTGAGGGTGGGAATGTGACGACCACACGTTTTTTCCCCCCATTTAGACAACAAGCTAATGGATTTTGGGAGAATTTTAGATAAACAATTTTGAAATTACTAAATTTTAAATGAGAAAATTTTTATAAAAATATATTTTTATTTGCAAACTTAGAATGTCAAAATCTATTAAAATGTTATTATTAAACCTGATTTAAGATTTATTGATTTCAAGCTTTTTTGTGTGGGATTCTCCGATGAGTTTTCTATCTTTGGACAAATGTGCGATTTTAATCTTGATCTTACTTTTTAGATAAAATTTATCTCGATCTTTTTAGTATGAAAATTTTAATTATGATATTATTTTTCAAATGTAATTTTATTTCTAATTTTTTGGGGTGCCATTTCACGCTCGCGGTTAAAATTTTAGTTAATTTTGTATCATAATTCATGTTGTTTTCGAATTTTTAGTCAATTTTGAACAATCTAATGCATGCCCCCATGTACACACGCACACAAAATGACATTTTAGTCATGATATTACAGTCTGAAGGAGTTACAGTTCAAAAGAGGACTGATCATAAAAGAAATGATGAGTTTAGAATTAATTTTTGAGATGCAAATTTTATAGAATATTTCGGAATAAACGAGAAATAACAATAATTAAAAAAAGGCTCATGTATATGAAAAAGAGATTAAGCAAGTCTTCTTCGAACCCGAGTCACACTCTCCCCCTCAACTTCAAAGACACATTATATATATTTTTTAAAAAAGTATAAAACTGCAGATTAAAGAAGTAATAATGGTTGCCATTAAGCGATGGAGTTGGATTTGAAATATGAAAGGTTTTAATTAAGTTATTTAGTTGGCGACAATTTTTATTAGTTTGTGTATTTGTTTGCTTTTAATTAGGTCTAAAATAATTCGATGGTAGAATTATCAAAACTATATGAGAAGGTAGTCAAATTAGCAGGCAGGCCCTTGTGAAGTTGGTGGAGTTGGAGTTAGAACAAAATAAAGAAGCTGCATCTACTGAACTGGACAGAATTAATTATCAAATAGAATACTTTAATTTTAAAGTTTTAAACATGAAAGAGAATGTGATGCAAGTTTTAAAAAAAATTACATCAACCTTTAATGTCTAAGTTGAAATATGAACGAAATTTTATTTTATTTTACTTTTAAATAAAATAAATAACTTAATTAGTGAGATAATTAAATGTTTCTCATAATAAAGACCAATGAAAATACTCTATAAAATATTGTTAACTAATTTACACATACTACAAAAATTGGTTGAAGTTAGCTTCTTTTTCCTCTCCCAATTTTGTCTGTCCAAAACAAGATTTTCCCACATTTACCCCTCAGTGGTTTTTGGCTAATGGGTCTGTAGGTTTTCCTTTTGCCTCGAACATCACTTTCCTAACTTAATTTTGTGGAAGATTCATAATTAGAGTTAAAATTGAAAACAAACAAATAAATAATGCACGGGACAAACCCTTTCCAATGCCTCATATTATAGATTAAAGAAATGCTTCTTCTAGTGCCTTAAAATTGAAATCGATCAGATGGAGTATGCAGAGTATATGTAATAATATACTAGTGTTATGTAAAAACATATGAACTATCATAATAAGAGTTTTAAATATAAACTACTCCTTGAGTCTTTAATATAAGACCTAATTAACTAATTTGAGTAGATTAAAAATGTTAGTTAAATTAGTTAATATAATATATTTTTTTTAAAACATCCTAAATATCTCCTTTAATTTTCTCCATTCCTCTCCTACTTGATTATTATTGAGAGGATATCAATAGGGTCAATTTTAAAAAAAATTGATAAACATGTAAAATAGGTCTTACATATAGGACAAATATCAACACCTTAATTAGGTCATATATTAACAATCAAAGGAGTAATTATGTTTGTAGAAGTCGTTAGAAGAGTATACTATAAGAGAGATTAGTATAGTTTAATAAGGGTGTATTAATTACCAAGTTGTACATGCTTAGCATTTGGTACCGTTTGTGCAGCAAAGCGTGTACAAGACGTGTGCTTGGATAGGGTTCATGAACAGTTGATGGGTGGGGGTTGGTGCATTGTGACTGGGGTACCAAAGATCATCATCATCATCAATAATTTCATAGTTTATGCACAAGCCTGTGGTACACATCTTTCTTAATCAGTTTTAATTCCTTTATCTTTAATATTTTCCTTAATTATTTATCAAACTAAACTTATTGATTACAAATGTGAGGAGAGTTTGCATCAAAGAAAAGTTTCAATCCAAATGATTTGAGAGAATATTTAGAAAAACAAACACATATTTTGACAAATAACTAATTTAACTACATTTCTTAACCCATCTAAATTAGTTAAGTAGATCTTATATTAAGATCGTAAAGTAAGATATGATATGGACTATAAATTTTGAAGCGTTGCACTATTGCCCATTGCCCAATAATCTACTATGCAGACAAGTCTAGTGAGATAAATTAGTCAATTTAGAAATGAATAGCTGCTTTATGGTCTTGAAATTTTATACTGTTCTGGTTCTTAATATATGACCTAATTGTTAAGTTAATTTTAGTCCTAAATATAAGATCTATTTCTCATATTTATCAATTTTTTCTAAATTACCCCTATAGATACTTCCTTAATCATAATCAAGTATGTAAGGGAGGGAGGATATTAAATAAGATGATTATGGTGTTTTAAGAAAAAGTCATATTTCTTATAATTAACTAACTTACCTAACTTCTTTAATCTAAGCAAATTAGTTAAATAGGTTTTATATTAAGGACTGGAGGAGTATTTTCTTTTCTTATAAGCTAATTTTGAGAAGCCACTTGCAAGTATCATTATATATATATATATAGAGGTCTAATAATTAATCCAAACACCTCATTAAGCCAGGAGAAACTTTTAGCTTAGAATCCCTATGTCCAAAACCCATAGGTTTATTCATTATCATCAAGAATATAATCTGACATGTGAGCAGGAGGTACGTACGCATCTAGCCAAATACAACTTGCCAAACAAGCGCTTCTATCTAGCATGCATGATCAATTCACAGAGCGATAGTGGACTGCTCTTTTAGAATGAACTCTCCCTACAGACTTTTGATGAGTCTCGCTTTTCAAGGCGAGCCTCCCTAACATGATGCTCATAACATAATACTTATTGTCGAACTCAAAAGAAAGAGTTTCCCAATTCAAAAATCGTAAATTCTGCAAATGAAGCATGCATTTTCATCGAGACATCAGTTCTGATATTATGCAATTTGAAGTATTTAACGTCACTTAAACAAGGTGTTGAAGCGTAAAGCGACGGAGGGAGAGCAATTGAATTAATGATTCTATTATACTACCTCCGGTCCTAATTATAAGAGCTAGTTGACTAATTTGAAGAGATTAAGGAAAGAAGTTAAGTTAGTTATTTTTAATAAATATGTTATTTTTTCTAAAATATCCTTGCTCATCAAGTGTATTGGCTAGAACTACCATTGTTAGAAGAACTACATGGGGAAAAAATGTATAAATATAAGAGAAAAAGTGGATAGGGGTCTTATATTTAGAACCAAAATAAAAGTCAAACAATGTCTTATATTAAGGACATGAGGTAGTATATGACAAGAACCGAATGATAAAAGCTCAGCGATATTATCCAAACACATGTTCAATTAACTGAAGGAATTAAGGCAGAAGAAAATTAAAAAAAATTCACTTGCTGGAATGCTACCAAGCTTAAAGAAATAGTGGTATTTTATAATTCTGATTCTGATTCTGAAAATAGCTCTGTCTGTCAGTGATTTCCAGCTAAAACGTTGACATAGGTATTGATCTAGCTATGAATGATTCATCTAAAGAGGAGACGCCTTGGCGCATATCTCGAAGAAGAAGAAGAAAGAAGAACAAAAAATTTATTACTAGTTTATTCTCGTAACAGCTAATGTGGTTCCAAAACAGAAAGAAAGCTGCTGAAAAAAATAAGTGAACTTCTATGCCAGCACAAACATTCTGTATTCACATGCAGAAACTTTGATAAACATTAGAAAATAATCATCGTTTGCCAAAGCATAGCGCTTTTGGTATTTCATTTTGATAATAAGAAATAATAAAACCAAACTGTCTTATAAAAGGAAAGTGATAGAGTAATAAAGAACAAGACATGAGAAGACAAGGAAAAACCCACATGCTAATATGGCCGCAAATGTTGGGGATAAGTTTGTAGTTTTTAGAAAATGACAATCATGTGACGGCAACTTCGTCCACTGTCTTTGGGTTTCATTTTGGTAATAAATCTGATTATTTTAAGGGAATTTGGATAGAAGTGAGTCAGCAACATCATGGGCAAGGAATTTTTCAGTGATCACTTTATAGGGAAACATCCAAATCTGTAGCAACTGGAACATGATGCTGAATTCTGCAGATATATATATATATATATATACATGTGTGTGCGCATCTAATTAAAACAGAGAGACATACATTTGGATCTTTTGAAACAGAAACAGGGGAAATAGTAAAGGGGGAATAAAGAATTAGAAATGAAGTTAGATCATCATTCCTCACCTAGATAGCTAGCAAGTAAAATTAGGAATTTTTCAGCTATTAATATTTGGAAACATTGAGTCCTTTCACTTGTATACTTCATTTTCAGCTAAACTAGATTCATTGTAGAAGTCATACTTGCCGTCCTAACAAAACATCGAAATTACATAATAAATATGATGGAATTTCTTGTAACTGAGTTCGGAAAAATGAAGTGCTTGCTTTCTCATTAATGAATAGGAGTATTTATATACATGGAGTATCAACTAAACATACAAACTGAACGCACAACTCAGTTATAAATTAACTGAACTAACAAAATGTTAACTATCCTTCACATTTCTTGAATTGCTCATACCAATAAATTTTGATAGGTCATAGGTGAGCTTAAATAACAATACTTTGGTAGTATTTTTGCAGATGCATTTATTTTACCTGCCCAGCTTATAGTTTATACTGAAGCAATGACGAAAATCCAAGAGAATGATCTCGAAAATGTAGCATATATCCATTTAGATTATTCAAACAAAGCAAAAACAGAGGGTTTCCCAATGTTCCAATAGTTGAATGCTCAATATACGTATCAATGAATCTAATAGGGTTGGGTCTAACGGAAAGGCTAGTCCCTCACAATATCGCGAACTAAGGTTTAAATCCCCAATAAAAGAGGTGCCTGCATTCACATTTAGTACCTCGCAATGCCTCAAATAGGATTGCTTTCAATGGAAGAATACTTATGCTTCAGCAAAAAAAAAAAAAGCACCAATGAAAAGGAAAATAATTACTGTTCAAGGTTCACCAGGATGCCAGGTCCTGCCAAAACAAACTGCTTCAACATACGGTTGCCAAAAGCACAGGACATTATTAGCATTCTTCCTACCCTCCAAAAGTTTAGTATATAAAGAAATGTAAATATCTGCTTCCATGAAATAACTACTCCAATAGATGGCCCCAAAAAAAAAAAACCTACTCCAACATATATAGGATCGTCCACAATATGCTAGGTTTTACCAGAACGCCTCCATGTTGCCATATCTCTACTTTATCCAACCCCATATCTCTACTTTATTTAGATACTATTCTATGAGATGTTTGGATGGAATCAAAACCATAGTTTTAAAAATAATTTTAAAGTATACAAAATAAATATGTAAAGGAGTTTATTTCGATTTGTAAAAAAAATACTTTTAAAAGGAACTTTTTATGTCAGAAGACATGGAAAATCTGATGCATATGAAAAATTATTACTGATGAAGACCACTATGTTTTGAATCGCTGTCCAAGGTCCACTTAAACAATTAAAGAAGATATGATCAAACTCTTCTATCTTCTTTGAAGTCATGGATATAATTATTATTTTTTGCTCTAATGCACATCTCCAAATCCTTCTCGCAACCAAAGTTATCACGTTCAGCTCTACTCTTCGTGCACCAAATTAAACAATAAAGAATGACCATATATTAATTTTTTTAAAACAAAAATTAAGTACATTAACAGATAAGGAGAGAACCCAATAGACAAGTACATTGTAATGACAACCATCAAAACCGCAGTGCTCTAAAGCTTAGCCTGATCTTTAAATAACAAACACGTCTTTCAGTTTATAGAATGCATATTATATTTCATTAAATAAATATTAAAATAAAGTAAAGAACACTGCCTGTTTCAACATCAAATGAACAGATATTTTGAAATTTTATATTCTTTTTAAATTTTGTTTTGTTCTTCCTGTATAAAGATCCTAACTTAATATGTATTATTTAAATTTAAAATTCTAGAAATTAAAAAAAATTTACTTCCTATATTATCATGATAGATGATTGCCAATTGAAATTATGGATCTGACTCTTTAAATTTATTATTGATTTTACATTTTAAATTATAACAAATCTTCCCCATTTGTATTTAAAATTCTAGAATTCAAAAAGTTAAGAAATATTTTATAGTATTGACATATATTTATATAATTTCAAATTATAAACTAATGATATTTACTGACAGCAACATGTCACATCAGATTTTCATTCAATGCTCACTATACAATTAGACCATCTAAAATCTGATATGGATGATTAAGATTTGAAATTTTTAATTTGCAAAATTTTTCAATTTTTTTAAACAAATATTATTTTTTATTTCCAATTATGTATATATATTAAAATAAAAAATATTTAAAATATATAAAAAGTTGAAATAAATTTGAACCATCCAAAATTAGCCAGGATAGCCTAAATTAAGATGATCACCTCATACTCATTTTGTGGTGAGAATGGAATGTATTCCCATGTCACGCCTCATATAATGTTTTAAGATGTACACACCCGCACATTGCGCAGGTTTTGAACTAGTTAATTTGAATTTGAAAGACCAACCACGATTAGGAAACTGGGCCAAAAACCGTAACAGTACCGGCATATGAGCAATTCAGCTTTTCTTAAAAATCATTATTTTCAAAAACGTCTGCTTAAAATACCGGCACTGCGTGATTATTTTTTGCAAATATAATTACTGATTTAAATTTAAAAATTGATGTAATACTGGGCTACGTGTACAGTGCTTTGTCTTTAACTCCTTGCTTGGATTGAGAGAAAATTAGGGAAGAGAGAAAACTACAGAGGAAAACACGAGAAGAAAAAGTTTTCTCTTGCTTGGATAGGAGAGAAAATGTGAGAGGAAGGAAAAGTAAAAGAAAAAATAAGATGGGCCCCATGCTTCATTTTCTCTCCATATGTGGAGAGATTTGGGAAGGAAAACAAGACTTCCATGACTACCCCTCCTCTCTCTTCCTCTCCATATTTATTTTCTTTTATTATATTTAAAAGGTTATTCACTTTTTTTCATCTTAAAACAATATTTTTATTAAATAATTTGGTTTTAAAATATAATAATCTGAAAATATATACAAACCAAATAACTTGATTTTAAATTATTTGATGATGCTAATGTTAGAATAATTTTTCTATTGTAATATTTAATTTAATTTAATTGTAAATATGATATATTTTGATAAGGACATTTTAGTCATTTAGAGATATGCTAATTTTCTCTTCTCTCTATTTTTTCTCATCCATCCAAGCAAGAGGGATGATCATAACTTCCCTTCACTTTTTCCTTCTCTCTATTTTCTCTCCTCCTATTTTCTTTCCTCTCAACTTTTCTTCTTATCCAACTATCCAAGCATAGCATTAATATCACACTGTGTAAACTCCTTTTGTTCAATGTAATAATAACAGGTTGTTTTCATCATGTGTCGGTTTCTGCATTCCTTTAGGTAGGAGGAGTTATTTGCATCAGGTCTGAAGTATGCGACATCTTCTAAAACTAAGGTTTATCTTTCGTTTTTCTGGGATTTGGATTCATGTCACGATGATGAATAGTTGCGATTCATTTTAATGTTCTGGGTTATTAATTGCATTGGGCTTCAATTTGAGATGTTTTCTATTGTTTGCTTAGCTTAGGTCAGAAATCTTCAGCAGTTTGATGAGGGGAAAGGCGCAAAAAATTTTGGAGGTTGGAATTGGTACAGGACCTAATCTCTTTTACTATGCTAGAAATTCTGATGTTCAGGTTGTTGGCATTGATCCAAACCAAACGATGGAAAACTGTGCTCGGTCCGCCGCGATATCTGCTGGCTTGCCACCTTCGAATTTCGAGTTTATTCGTGCTGTATGTATATTGTTCTTCCCACTTTTTGAAAACAGGAAGAAATGAAAATGCTGTAAAGAGGATGATGATGATGGTGGCAATGAACTTCAATAGTTTTGAAGATTGCATTTGGATTGGAATAAAAGAAGCTAGATAAAATAAGAATCACTACTACAAATAATGCTATTTTTTCCTATTCTGGAGGCTCATTTTCGTCGTTTAGGAGGAGAAGTTGACTAAAAAGACATAGATAGGAGTTACATATTCGTCATGTCCATAACAGGCGAGTATGACCAATCCCATACTCGTCTGATCATGGGTGAACAGATGAGTATGAAGCTTCATGCTCGTCTGTTCCAGATGGAAATGAATGTTTTGTAGCAGTGAACTAAATGTTCAAGTTATTAGCTATGTTCAGGTCGGGGAGGCTATACCATTAGATGATGCTTCGGTAGATGCAGTGGTTGGAACATTTGTCTTGTGTTGTGTCAAAGATGTTTCCATGACACTTAAAGGTACTGAAATTTATTAAATCCTTCTCGTTATTTGTTTATTTAAGTTTTGCACCTCTTAGAATTTGGTTAATTCTCCATATGTACTACATCAGAAGGGGACTGAATTTTTATCCTACACATGATAGATTCTTCTTTTTATTTTTTATTTTTTTCATTGATTATGCACCATTTATAATCCAAGTCCATCATCTAAACAATTTGAACTCTCTATGTAGAAATTAAGAGAGTGTTGCGGCCAGGCGGGGTCTATGTATTTATAGAACACGTTGAAGCAAAAGGTACAAACAAAACCGTCCAGTTCACTTTTGAAATAAAAAGCTGTGATTTTATCAAGTAGCTTATTTTTATTTCTGTTCGTTCTTGTGTTGAATGGAGATACAGAGGGAATAGTTCTCAGATATACCCAGAGAATTCTATATCCTCTTACAAGTAAATTTGAAGTTGGGTGTCACTTCCGTAGAGACACAGAAAGCCTTATATCAGGAGCTGGGTTTTCAAGAGTTGAGCACAAAACAATATTTCTGGAAAATGCTTCATTTCTAAATCCCAATATACATGGACTAGCTTACAAGTGAGCATCAAATGTTTCCCTTATGAAGTTTAGCAGGCATTGAATAAATTACTTACCTTTTGGCCAAATAGAGAAATAAATAACTTACCTGAAACAAATACAAAATATGGAAAAAGTCATTTGCTTTTTTTCCCTTCCCTTTTTTAGGGATTTCATGACTCAACATATTTGGCATTGCCAATTTATTTGCGTAGATATTACTCACATACAACAATTTCCAATTCCTTTTAATATATTCTTAGTATATATATGTGTATAATATTAATGTCCGACGTGCATGCGCAGGACCTAATCCAATATCAGTTTTTGGGGACATATGCAATTATACAATCAATTTTTTAAGATAGAACAAGTGAATAACTATTTCCAATTTGTCAGTGAATGAAAGGTGAGGAAATAATGAAGGGCGCTATTTTTTTTTGGGAGAATTGCTGTGAAGTCCTAAGTAAGGAATATGATTATTAAAAAGTCCTAATGACAAAAGAGCAATCTGCAATTGACAAATAGTTTCTGACTAGTTAAATGACAATTACTCACTTGTTATTGAGACTTATTAGTAATTATTTTCTTTTCTTAGGATCTTATTGTAATTCTTTCCTATTTTTCTAAGAAAAAAATTGTTTCAACAAGTGTTCATGATTCCAACCTCCAAGTTGGGAGTAAAAACTACTACATATTTTAGATAATGAATTTCACAATGTACATTACATATACTAATATATATCTTTTTTGCCGGCAAAAACACAAAAACTACTACTCTCTTTTTAAGAATTTGATTGTATTTAAGATTATCAGGTACGTAATTTTCTTAATGTAATTTTTAACTCACAATGTTTGAAATGATAACCTTGGTTAATAGAAATTAGGTTTGTTTTATTCAATTCTTATTTTTTTGCCATCATTTGTTTTATTGGACTCAACCACGGATGTTGACTGCAATATATACTTTTTTATTTTTCACCTATGTTAATATGTTAAACTTTTTTTATATGTTGCAGAAAACTTGAAAAAAATGACAATAATATTATTTATGTATGGAAGACCTTGATTAATTATAGATTTTATATTATATAAAAACATTATATTAATGAGAACTCTATATTACGTTTACATGAATGTGAATGCCCAATTATTATTGGTAATATTGGTAACGGATTACCTAAAACGCGGCACAACACTTCATTCTCGATTGCTTAAAATGATGGCCTGTCAATTGAACAAACGTACTAAAATTCAATTATAGTACTATAGTAGTACTAGTACTGCCTCTGGTTGGTTCTAAGTATAAAAACCAATTGGAAATATTTAATTTAATCCTAAATATGAAATCTCAATTCATTTTAACTTCTATATTTATTTCTTTTTCTCTAAAGTAGTCTCTATGGTGATTACATATATAAACCGGTTTTCATGCTAACATAAATATATGATTAATAAGAGTACGTATTTTAGGAAAGAATACGTCGATTTATTACAAGTAACTAATTAACTAATTTTTTTAATATTCTTAAATTAGTTATTTAGTTATTATATTAATCACTTTTTTATAGGTAAGGTTAAAGGGATTATCATTCATGATATGCTGAAAGGGCAAGTGAGTCATTAAAATTTGAAACCAGACAAAGAACATATTAGGTCGGGCCAGCCAGATGGGTCAACCCGCACTGGGTTCGTCGGACTCGTCTGACTTCTGCCCACATTCCTCAACGAAACACCTTTCCCCACTGAACCCAGCTCTCTTTTTGTCCCTTTGCTCCCTTCATTTCTAAAATGGGATAAAGGTTATTTTTGCCCTGGAAGTTTTCACAGAGGAGCTGTGGGTATTAGGAAGTTTTTTTTGGAGCAATATTGCTCTGGAAGTTGAAAAATGATAGCAATGTCAACCTACATGAATGAAAATCTAACGTTTTCTGTTAAGTGACAGTGTGTCAATCCAAAATGCAATGCATGGCATCCACCTCACTGCTGTTTTTCCATGTCAAATTTATAATTGAGAGAAAAACTTTAAAAAAATTGTAATCCTTCCCCCGTTCCTCTCTGCTGCCCCTCAATCACCATTTACCCTTTCATCTTCGATCACAAAGAAGCATCGAAGACTACTCAAGTAAGACTGCAAGAAGATTGTTCAGCATCAGTGAGATCTCCATTTTCGCTGCTAGTCTCTCGACCCCCTCTTTCGTGTTCTCTTATGTCGGCGTGATTGTCAAGTCCGACACCAACATCAAGTTCCAGTGGGACTTCACCTTGTGACTGCATGTTTGTCGATTTTTTTTCCATTGTAAGAATTGTTAATTGGAAACTAATTACTTAGCAAGAGCTTGACAATGTTTAATATTTTCCTTCTAGTCATCTGTGCTTCTCAGCAAATCGCTGATATTTATGCCTCGAAATCGATGGTTTTAATAACCTAGCTATTTCAGGTTCTTTCATTCAAAATCAACCCAGATGCTTGATTTGATCTCATAGTTAGACCTCTCTCTGCAATGAACACTTCTTTGGGGACATGAGAATCCTTCCCATCGGGTCTTGTTCTAGCCTTCCAAAATATCAACCTCTCTTGCCAAGTCGCCGTCGCAATCTCGTGGTTCTAAAACATCGGCCTATCTTGACTCATAATTGCAAAGCATTCAAGAAGAAAATGATCTAGTGAGGCTCCTATCTAGATTATGCAGTATTTGCACAATTTGAAGGTGACGCACCTTGTCGTCCAATTTTGCTTCTGTTCAGATGGTTGGCAGTTTGGTATAAGGCTAGGATTGTTTCAGAGAGCATTGGGGGCGATATTCAAATCTAAGAGAAAGAAGTGATAGATCAGATTATGTGGGCTTCAAGACTGGCATTGAAGGAGGAAGAAAGTTTGGGGATGCCAAGTGAATGGAAGGGATATCACGTGTTCCTCTTCGATCCCTCTCTCATTTTCATTTTTTTAATTTTTTTTATTATGTGGCATGATATGTTGAATAGCACGTGGCGGAATATCCTATTTGGCAGAGCCACCTTAGCTATTGTTGTTGACCGTTTGTATTTGTTAGGGCAAGGTCGACATTACTATGATTTTTCAACTTCCGGGACAACATTGCTTTGAAAAAAACTTCCTGGTACCCACAACTGTTTTGTGAAAACTTTTGAGGTAAAAATAACCTTTATCCCTTCTAAAATTTATTATTTGATAGCTTCTGCTGGGGAATCTTTTCTAAATTAAATCGCGTACAACGGTCAACGGTACAAGTTAAATATATAGCGTAATAAATACATATATACTACCTTCGGTCCTAATTATAAGAGCTAGTTGACTAATTTGAGGAGATTAACAAAATAAGTTAAGTTAGTTATTTATAATAAATAGATGTTGTCTTTTCTAAATATCCTTGCTAATCAAATGTATTGGCTAGAACTATTATTAGAAAGAATTCTTTGGGAAAAAATGTATAAATATAAGAAACAAAATAGATGGGAGTTTTATATTTAGGGTCAAAATAAAAATAAAATAAAGTCTTATATCAAGGATAGGAGGTCGTATAATATAGAAAAATAATTACATCAAGTTTTTTATATTCATTATATTGGGTGTCCAATCTTTTTTCATATGGGTTTACAGCTTAATTAAGTGCAGTGGTTGGCGCCTATATAAAGGGCTGGTGTGGAAGTGTAATACAGAATTTCCTCAACGTATCCCTCCTGAGTTTATTTGCCTTCTGGTATTCTGTCACTTTGTTTATTTGTAGGAAGTGTTCGTTTAACCTTGGGAGTGCCGCTTTTTTAATTACAGAGGGGATACGACTCGAACCATCAAATTTTCAGTGGTGCCGCGAACACAGATACGCGCGCGCGCGCACACAGATGCGCGAAGCTGGGAAGGTCATTGAACTCAGCTCTGAAGTGAACGAACTGAGTGATAAAGGGAAGCCTCTCGTGAGAAGTAGGCATAGCCACAGCGCTACCTACCGAAAGTTGCAGCAATGGCTATGATTCGGAGAACCAAATCCATTACGGAGAGCCCTCTCTTTATCACTCTTTTTTATGCTATTCCCTTTGAAACTTCCCCAGCTTCAACTGCGCTGCTTCCCTTCATTTTCGCAGTATCGTTTCAAGAGTATACTATAAGAGAGATTAGTATGGTTTAATTAGGGTGTACTAAGTACCAAGTTGTACGGGCTGAGCAGTTAGCACCGTTGCCGCAACAAAGCGCGTCCAAGACGTGTGCTTGGATAGTGTTCATCAACCATTGATTGGTGGGTTTGGTATATTATGATTGTTGGGGTGGGAAAGATCATCATGTGCAAGGGATTTTTCAGCTATCAGTTTATAGGGAAACATCCAAATCTGTAGCAGCCGGAACATGATGCTGAATTCTGCAGATATGCATCTAACTTAAATCGCAGAGATGTACATTTGGATCATTTGAAACAGAAACAGGGGAAATGGTAAAGGTGGAATGAAGAATTAGGATTGAAGTTAGATCATTAATCGTCAGCTAGATAGCCAGTAAAGTTGTTTTGAAAAACTAGCTGTGTCCTTTCACTTGTATACTTCCATTTTCAGCTAAACTAGCAAAGCATAATTCCACACCAGTAATTTAATTTGACCACTAAAAACTTTATGCTCAATGAGAATTACCGTCTAGTATTGCATAAGCAATTTTATAATTAAAAAGTCTTTCAAGTTGTCGATATGTCATGACTTGTTATCATTTTCTTATGGGATCTTGTTATCATTTTCACTTATATTAGCATTTTAGGGGGTGTTTGGATAAAAACCAAATCATAGTTTTAGAAATAATTTTATAATATATAAAATAAATATGTGAAAGGGTTTGTCTTATTTTTTAAAAAAATGTCTTTAAAAAGTAATCACGTAGATATCCAAACCCTCTAAAATGCTTTTGTAGCTCGGAAACCTCAGACCAATCAGCATCCAAGCCAGATTGGGCCTCAAATGGGTAGGTCTCCTAGGCACATCATCGTGGCTCTGTGTTATTACTCAATGGGGTTTCACTTTCAGTGGGACTTTTGAAAGTAAGTCCAAGTCTATGATGAAGAATCCAGCCCATTCCCAAGGGGCACTTCAAACAGCCTTGACCCACACAGAGAAACACCACACGCACATGTATGTTCGCGCACGTGTGTAATAGAACAGCGTGCTGCGTGCATCTTAGGCATCGTTCTTACCGAACGCTAGTCTGGGCGTGAAGCTGGTTCGTTTCGTAGAGGTTTCTTCTCTTCTCTGCTGTTGGATTCTTCATTTCTCCGTTAGCTTCTTTCTTCTGTATCAGGTAGCAACCAGCCTTCATCTTTCTTGCTTATGTTTCTTCTTCGTTTTTCGTTCTTGAGCAGCTTCATGCCTGTCTGCTCGGTTTTTCTTAAATAAAAATTTTTCTGCATCAGAAAAACCGTCAGATAAGGACTGTGATTAAGTTTTCTGAGTTGGGTACCTTCAATTATCCTCGAGGCTTCTTCTTAAGCAATAAGTTACTAAATTGTTTTGAGTATGTTGTAGTTTGGCAATGGTGCAGCGGAAATTCAAACTTATCTTTAGTTTCACTGATTAATTTGTTTATTAAAAACGTGGGTTTGTTTTGTGTATCGTGCTTTGAATATTTAATCATGCTGCTATCCATGCGATTTATTTGATGTGATCATGTTATGTGATCGATACCTGGCTGACAATTTTCTGAAGACGGAAGAGACTGTAATGGGTCTGTATCGAGTATTGTAGAGTTTGCTGAATGCAGAACTGGAGGAATCTTCTTGTACAGTTTTGATATCAGTGAATGAAATAAGGATTTCTAAATTGATTGCTGGTTGTTTTTTATTCAAATTTTCATGATTCAGGTTTTGCTGTGAAAAGCTCTAACTCTCAGTAACTTGAGCTTTTTCACCATTAGATCATTTTGGGACTCTGTCCCTGTCAATGAAAACTAGATATCATTTCCGTGCTGTAAACTTGGCATAACTTTTGAAGATGACTACATGCTTTGTTCATTGTTGGTCACTGTTATCAAACCCTTTGCCATTGCCGTTTGTGCAGTGAGAGAGCAATGTCAGAAACCAATGTTGAGGATGTCAATAAACAGGAGATTGCCGATACTACGCCTACAGATCAAATTGATTGTGACAATCCTGTTGATGATCTGAAAGGTTCTGATAAAAATGATGAGAAGTCCATGCCCTCGCCCCAGCAGGAGGTAATATCTTTAGCTCTTTCTTTATCTAGTAGGATGTAAGTGATATGAGGTTGAAATTTGATAAAGTCATGTTGATAATGGTAGAGCAATTAAATCTGAACTCTGTGGCGTGGTTTCTGCTGCATTATAATATTATACACATAATGGTAATCACTCAGTTTAAGAAATGACTACTTCTAAATATGTTTCTGTAGTTGCCATGGGTTCAGATATTGGTGAAACCACTTCAGAGATTTAGAAACCAGAATATCCTAATGACTGTAACTGGAACTAGCGATTGTGTTATTAGTTGGATCTCATAATATGGATATAAATTGATTATGGTGCAGCATCTTTTATTATTAGTTTCTTTCTGCAGGAAGAAGTTATCAAGAAAAAGTATGGTGGGATATTGCCAAAGAAGCCTCCCCTAATATCCAAGGTTACTTCTTTTCCTCTGGCCTTGGCTCACATATGCTGTTACCCTACTGCCCTCCGTTATCTGCTAAGTTGAGTAAAAATGTCCTTTAGAAGCTGAAGTTTCTTCATATTTTAAATTTCTGGCAGGACCATGAACGTGCTTTTTTTGATTCTGCTGATTGGGCTCTGGGAAAGGTATTTTCAGGATTCATAGCTCATCTATGTCAGCATATCATTGCAAAGGTTTAGCTTTTGTGTTTTTTTTTTGCCCGGAGCTTGATATCTCTGCCTCCTGTTTCTTCTCTCTGATTCCTGGAACAGCAAGGAGCACAAAAGCCTAAAGGACCCCTTGAAGCACTGCGTCCGAAGTTGGAGGTATTTTTACATTACGGCCTTTTTCTTTTGTCTTTTACTTGCCGGTTCTCTTTTTGAAACCCTTTTGATGGGAATCAATATTATCCATTTAACCAAATCTTATTCGACAACTTTGAAAAGTTCTAATGAGCATCATTTCTTAAACCAGCATCCATCAATCTATGCTAGGTTTCTTCTGTATTTTTTATATTTTAATAGTTTTATGATAATCTTTATCAAATTAGACACATTTCTTGCGCGTTCCATGGAGTTTGTGATGAGATACACTGTTCATGACTTTTATTGTTTTATTTTAGGTGAATTTTATTGAATGTATAGATGTATAGATGCTTTACTAATTAACTTGTTAGTTTTATCACATTTTATGAAACAACTTTTGAATGATCTTCCATGAGAACTTTTCACCTTTCAAATGAGAGCCATCAAAAAGGCACAATGGGTCTAATATGGTGCTGAAGGTTTAGTCAGGGATGTAGGTAATGAGAAAGGTTTTTTAAAATGTCTGCAACATTATACTCTTAACCTTGTACAGGACAGGGTAACTATTTTGGTGTCCAACTCCGTTCTTAAATTTGAAATAAAGCTTTTTAAAGAAAATGGTGAGGGGGAACACAATTAACAACTTTTGCCCCATCACATGACAAGAAACTGATCAAGTGCGATATAGTAGCCTCCATTAATATTTGTGTCTGGACATTCCTTTGTTCTGTTTCTTTCCCCCTTTCATTTTCACTGTGGTCATCAGCCCACACCGAGCCAGCAAGTTCGTTCAAGGCGGTCCGCTTATGCTCCGGCTGATGACAATGAAGAAGGTATATTATATATGTCCTAGCAATGAATCAATGGATTGGGCACCAAAAAGAAACAAAGAAAGGGAAAACTAAATACCATGTTGAAAATGAAATACCTTTGTTTTCTGACAGGTGATGGTGGCAATAATGATGCTTCTCCGGAGGACCAAAGTGCCACTGGAGAAGTTGTCAATGGCAACAGTACTACAGCCAACAACTAAAGCTGTGGGTGTACTGGAGATGGATTACATTTGACAAAGTGAGGCTTTTCCATCTGAATATAGAAAGCACTTGAGCATATGCTTAGAGTTTGCTTGTTTTCATAACTGGAATAGGGAACGTTGAAGTAGCTATGGCCATGGATCATATATATACTTCCTTACTGTGAGATCATGACTTGATAAGATTGCATCCATTGTGCAATCATACATCCATGAAGACATATGTTGAGTTGCTCATGCTCACTGGATAGAGTGATTAGCAGAGTAGGGGCATAATGGGGAACATATTTTTTTTCTGGGGGGGATTCCCTTTCTAATTATAGATGAAGTTATTAATTCTTACTTTAAATTCTTGCTTTCTCGCAGTTCTTATACCTCTTTTAAACATGCAGTCGAATCGTCTATGGCTAAAAAATTTTTTTAAAAAAAATAATTAGTTATTTCTTTTAGCTAGTTCTATGTAAATCTTTATCCATATTATATATAAATTGATGATTTGACAGCCCGTTTACATGCCTGCAATAGTAACTAAGATTGCCTTACCAAAATATAGATGTTGGGTTGCTGTTCAATTTGATAGTAGAGTTTACCATAATAATGATGATACTCATTCACACCTCTCACTATGAATGCTCGTTACCATCTTGCATGTTTTGAAAAGCCTCATTTTGCCCTTCAATACATTTTTCTGTTTACCTGTTTTTCCATCCTTCCATTTCCCTTACTCATTGTCATCCCCTGCTCCACTCGCACCGCCACCACCTTCATCCTAGCTCATCCAATAACACCGTCGAACCTCTATAGATTAGACATCGGCGGAGCCATCCATTCTCAAAATAGTCTTTGTAATAATTATAGTTCTAACTAATACAGTTAATTGCCAATGATATTTTAGGAAAGATGATATCTATTTATTATAAATAACTAATTTAATTAATTTTTTTAATCAACTCAAATTAGTCAACTAACTCTTATATTTCTTCTGGTTCAAAATATAAGCTAAATTTTGTTAGGGAGTTTTTTTTTATAAGATAACATTAACTTTTGTCTAAATATTTAATGAGTTTTTTTTTCAATTTTATCCTTATATATTCTCTTTCCTCTTTGATTTATTTATTGTATCTTTTACTTATTCTTTTTATTAATAAGGACATATCTGAAAAAAAAAAAAACATGACTTATATGTTTATTGTTTCAAGCTAATTTTAACTAGTTTCTTAATAAATATGAATAGATAAAGTTTAGCTTATATTTTAAACCGGAAAGAGTATTAAAGACCGCAGGTAGCACAAGCCAACAGAATTGATCAAGTCTAATTGTTAATACTGCCCTCCCTGCTCTTGCTGTTAAAAATAATTTTAAAAAAAAAAAACAATAAGATACAAAATTATAAATCAACTCGCTTAAACGCTCATGCCTGCAGTTTTTCTTTTGACGGCCAAAAAAAAGTTCATACCCCAACTAGTGATGATAAGATTTTTTTTTCCGGCACAGCTGCCTTTCTGCCAGAGATAATTTTCAGCAACTAAATATGGATTTTTTTAATAAGAATTCGAATCTTAATCCGTCGTATTATAAAAGACTAATTTTTTTTATTAGACTCAATCTTATTTGAGCTAGTGATGATATTAATAGGGTAGAGAAATTTGATTCTACAAGAATTAGTTACACCTTAAAAGAAAATGTATATTGTTGTCAATCTTTTTAGTCAACGAAAACTATTCCCTCGATGAAAAATATTAAGCCGGGAGAAAACATGTTAATTAAATCCAACAAAATAGGTTTTATTTAGGACGGCAGAGTATATAACCCAGGGATTCGGGCACAGGTTACGTGTCGGAATTCTCTTGTGTTTTATTTTATGAAACAACGGTCGTCGCCGTCTCTCATGGCTTCCAAGAACTTGCAATAAAATACTCCTCTGGTCCTAGTTATAAGACCCAATTAACTTATTTGAAGAAATTAAAGAAGTAAGTTAAGTTAGTTATTTATAATAAATAAGTGTTGTTATTCCTAAAATATCCTTACTAATTAAGTATATTGGCTAAAACTATCATTATTAGAAGGATTATCTTGGAAAAAAATACATAAATATAAGAGACAAAATGGATTAGGGTCTTATAATTAGGACCAAATAAAAAGTCAAATGGGGTGTTATAATAAGTAGGGGAGGAGTATGAACATTTTGTATAAGAAGAATGATCCCCATACACGTGTAAGCATCTGTCAGGTAGATAAGTTGGAGGGAACACATTTCTTGACTTCTTCCGATGCGGTCAAACACAGTTGGTCCAAATTCTTACCAAAGAAGCAAAATCTGTTTTGTTGATTATCAAGCATGGAGCGTATTTAAGCGCCGCTCTCGCTGTAGGCACTGCCTCTACGATGGTGCTGTCTTCCATCCCGTTCGTTGGATTTTCACTTCCCTCATCTCAACCCTTTTACGAAGCTAATTCCTTAACCTGTTCGCTTTCTCAACGGGTTGACTCGGGCTCGCCGGAGCTCGCCAAATCCTGCTTCTGCTGCAGAAGACGGCGCTTCCTTCAATCGGCATCCATGGCAACTACTCTCTTCCCGATTGTCCCCTCAACTGCCGCCGTTCCGCGTTCTAATTACACGGTAATTGCAAGTATTTGAAAGCCGCTAGACGGATAAGATAATTGAAAGGGACAAGCTTGAAGCTTGATTTCATACTAATATTGAGCTAGAAGAATGGAATTTTTTTTTTTTTTGTAGGATGTTCTTAATAAGTTTCATCCGCCCAAGCCTGGTTGGTACGAAGAGTTATATGCATCAGTTCTGAAGAATGCGACTAAATCTTATGAAGCTGAGGTTCATCTTTCTTTTCTTTTTTTTTTCCCGGGGTTCGGATTCATGTCATGCTGATGAATATTTATGATTCATTTTAATGCTTTGAGTTATTAATTGCATTGGGCTCCGCTTTGAGATGTTTTCTTTTGTGTGCTTAGGTTGCGCGTTACAAGGCAGAAATATTCAGCAATTTGAGGGAAAAGGCGCATAAAATTTTGGAGATTGGAATTGGTACAGGACCTAATCTCAGTTACTATGCTAGTAATTCTGATGTTCAGGTTGTTGGCATTGATCCAAACCAAAAGATGGAGAAGTATGCTCGGTCCTCGGCAGTATCTGCTGGCTTGCCCCCTTCCAATTTTGAGTTTATACATGCTGTATGTACAATGTTCTTCCCTCTTTAGTACCTCTTTCTGAAAACAGGAAGAAATGAAAACTCTGTAAACAGAATGATGGTGGCAATGAATTTGAATGTTGATGACTGCTTTTGGATTGGACTAAAAGCAACCAGATGAAGAATGTTTTATGGTTTACTGCTGTATTGTAATGTCATAGTACTGAATTTAGAATTGATAAAGCATTGGATTTGTTCCTTTTCTAGCCATATAATATCGTTTTGTTTAGTTTAATATCTGGTGGCTCTTAGCGTCTGTTATTTATCTTCTAAGCTTTCAAGTTGTTGGCTATGTTCAGGTGGGGGAGGTTATACCATTAGATGATGCTTCTGTGGATGCAGTGGTTGGAACACTTGTCTTGTGTTCTGTTAAAGATGTTTCTATGACCCTTCAAGGTACTGAAATTTGTTAGGTCCTTCTTGTTATCTGTTCATTTAATTTTTGCTTCCCTTAGAACTTGAACTGCTTATGACCCTTATCAACTAAGTTATTTGATTATCCTACTTCTCCATATGTGCATCAGAAGGGACCTAATTTTCATCCTACACATCATAGATTCTTCTTCTTCCTTTTTTTCTCCCCCATTGAGTATGCACCACTTGATAATCCAAGTCTATCATCTAAACGATTTCAACTCTCTATGTAGAAATCAAGAGGGTGCTGAGGCCAGGGGGGCTGTATGTAATTGTGGAACATGTTGGAGCAAAAGGTGCAAACAAAACTATCCAGTTCACCTTTGAAATGAAATGCTGTGATTTTGTCAAGTAGCTTGATTTTATTTCTATTCTTTCTTGTGTTTGAATGGGGATACAGAGGGAACAATTCTCAGATTTATCCAGAGAATTCTAGATCCTCTTCAACAGGTACTAGCAGATGGGTGTCACCTCTGTAGAGACACAGAAAGCCTTATATCAGAAGCTGGATTTTCAAGAGTTGAGCTCAACACAGCATCTCTGAAAAAGGCTTCATTTGTAAACCCCCATATATATGGACTGGCTTACAAGTAAGCATCAAGTTCTTAAATAGATCGGTGCACAGTGTGGTTCATTGTCTGTCGCAGGTTAGAAAGGAAATCAGAATTGACTGTGGAAGTTGGCTTATGACGTTTTATTATTATCGTGTAGAACTATGTGACGTGTTTATATGTGTGTACAACGAATAAACGAACATGACAAGATATGAACTGCATCTGAATATATACTACACTCTAAGCGAGAGTGTGTTGTTTGCATATTCCTTCCTTCTTTGTTATAAGCTCCCAGAAATAACTTTACATAAATAAATAAAGTTAGCTTAATCAAAAATGCATTTGCTATAATTTTATGAAAAAAGAAGGGTTAATATAAATTTTAGTCCTTCAAATTTGTCATGGTTTTGGTTTTGATCCTTCAAGTTTCAAATCATAGGTTTTGATTCCTGAAATTTCTTTTCATTTAAAATATTAGTCTCTATGATCTAATAAAAACTTAGAGCATTTTGTACCTAGAGGGACCAAAACCTATGATTTTAAACTTAAGGGATCAAAACCAAAATGAAGACAAACTTAATAGACCAAAAATTATATTAACCCAAAAAAGAATCTAATAATGAACAGGTAAGTAATTGTATCTTATGCAAGCTTTGAGTTGAAGCCAGCTAATGCTGGGTATGCAGTGGGAAGGTTGGTGAAGGTTGCTTTTTCATCATATTTGTACTCTTTAATTAAAAATTAAAAAGTATTGTTGGTTGGGTGATATTTAACTTAACAAGCATGGAATAAATATAACGTACCTGTTGGCCAAAATAAATAAATGAATAAATAACTTCAATGAAGTGAAAACAAAATATGGCAGAGTCATTTGGTTTTTTTTTTTTCAGAGGGATTTCATGCCTCAACATATTTGGCATTGCTAATTTATTTGCATAGACCAAAACATATCACATAAAACAATTTCCAATTCCTTTTAATATATTCTTAATATTTTAATATATATAAAAATGTCTGACGTGCAAATGACTTATTTCAATCTTATTTTATGGGACATATGCAATTATAAAATAAATTTCTTTATTTTTTTTTTAACAAAGAACAAATGAACAACTAGTTTTTGGGACATACGTTAAGCTCCAGTGCTTAAAATGATGGTATGCTAACTGAACAAACGTACTAAAATTGAATTATGGTACTCTGTCCGGTTAATAATATAAGTCATTTTAATGGATTTATGAGAACCAAAAAGTGACATTTAACTCATTAAAGAGATCATAAATTAAATTTTTTTTCATTCTTTTACTTTTACTAAAGAATTTGTACGAAAAATAATTTTTAAACATGTTCTACGAGTAATTCCGTTAAAAATAATATTTAGTGGGAGAGAGAAGAGTCATTTCATCAAACTCTTTTAAATGATGTTTATAAGGAGAGAGAAGAATGGACTTTCATCATATTAATTAGATGGGAAATATTTTTTAAGGAGAGAGAAAATACAAAAAATTAGCAAAAATAAAAATGAGTATTAATTGTAAGAGTAAAATTAATAAATAAGCATTAATTATCTTGCAAGTGACTTATATTTTAAATCATGCTATTTTTCTAGAAGTGCCCTATACTATGGAGGGGAGGTAGTAGTGTATTTTGTTTTAGACCAACCAAAATATTAATTTACAAAATAAATTAGTAAATAGATTTTTAAATTTTAAATCCATCCGGGAAAAAACCTCCCCACACAAACAAAACTGTAATTAACAAAATAAATTAGCAAATATTTTTTTTTAAATTCGCCATCCTCAGAAAATTTGGGCTTTGAAATATTAACTTAAATTTCAAAATATTAAACGTTTAAAATAAAAGATCAGTTTTAAACTACTTTACCTATCAAGAAAAAGCCAGCAGTTAGATAGATCTGTAAATTCGCTATACTCAGAAAATATAGGCTTTGAAATATCAAACAGTTAAAATAATAGATTAGTTTTTAATTATTTTTGTTATGGAAAGTTAGGAAATTTTGCTGAGAACTCTAACAACGTGGACATTTGAGTCTATTAAATTATTTTTTCTTTAAATTTGTAAATAGTTTTGTAAATTCATGACAGCTTTTATTGAATTTTTCAATCCTTCCGAAACAAACTCCAAACTAAACTTGAGCCTTGAAACAGCAACTTGGAATTTGACATATTATGCCACCACTTTGCATCAAATATTAATATTTTTTAATTTAAAAATTGATGTAGTAATTTGAATTTAAAAGAGCAAACCACCATTCGGACACATATAATAGTGCTTTAATTTGTCTCTAAATATCACACTGCGTTTGTTCCATGTTTCGGTTATATGCATCATTTCTGAATAATGCCACTCATTCTCATCATATTCACGATGAGGTTCTTCCTTTGATTTTTCTGAGATTTGGATTCATGTCTCAAGATGACAAATATTTGTGATTCATTCATTTTAATTAATGTTTCGAGTTATTAATTGAGATGTTTTCTTTTTGTTTGCTTAGGTTATTGTTCTTCCCACTTTTTGAAAGCAGGAAGAAATGAAAATGCTCTAAAGAGGATATGATGATGATGATGGCGGCAATGAATTTGAATAATATTGAAGAGAATATTTTGTAAGGTGGATCAATCGCCCTCAAATATTTTGTAGTGTGTTCAGCATATTGAATCGGACACATAAAAATTATTTTAAAATAAATACACCACAAGATATTTTAGAATAATAGACGCAATTAACTTTTAATATGTTCTTAACATGTGTGTATGATGTCTGACGCGCGAAGGAACTATTCCGATATTGGTTTTTGGGACACATGTAATTATACAATCAATTTTGTTAAGATAAAAGAAGTGAACAACTGTTTTCATTTGTCGGTAAAATGAAAAGTGCGAAAATAATGAAGGGCGTTATTTTTTTAAAAGAAAAACAATCTCAGCAAGTGTTCATGATTATTCTTTTTAAAATAAAAGAATTACAATGAGGTCCCAAACAAAAAAAACAATTAAAAAACAAGTCTCAGAGGTTATTATTCTCATTATAAGACTTGTTATTATAAACTGTTGAAATTGTTATTAAGACTTTTTGATAATTATTTCTCTTTTATGAGATTTGATTGTAATTTTTTCTTTTAAAATTTGATTGTATTTAACATTATCAGGTGAGTAATTTTCTTAAGTATTTTTGAATTCACAATATTTGAAATATTAACCTTAATTAATAGAAATTAAGTTTGTTTTATCCAACTTATTTTTTTTACCATGATTTATTTCATTGGACTCAACTATCGATATTAAATGCACCATGTGTACTTTTTTATTTTCTTTTTTTTTTACCTGATTGTACTTTTTTATTTTCACATATGTCAACATGTTAAACGTTTTTTATATGCTGCAAAAAACTTGGAAAATGACGATAGTAGTACTCCTCATAATTTTTTATAAATAACAACTATCAACTTTTTTTTTCTCCCTGAATATATGCAATATTTATAATTTATCTTAAATTTTTATAACAATTTTTTTATTTTATTTCTATTAAAGATTTATTTTAATAATAGTCAATATATTTATTTTTTTCCCTCAAAACATCAATTCCTAGATAATAAATATTTTGAAGATTATATTTTAATATAATCTCTTTCTGTCAGACATTCTGTTTTTTATAATTCTTTTAATTATAATAATTTTTTATTCGCTTTCTTAGAATTTCTCCCCAATAACTATAAGTAATAGTATTTTAGAGAAAAAAAAAACTTCTGATTTTTATGTATTTATTATTTTTAATTAATTTCAACTAATTTTTTAACCTATATTCTGATTTAGTCTAATGTCACTTGTAAGAACGGAAAGAGGGAGTGCTATTTATGTACGGAAGACCCTGATTTATTATGGATTTTATATTATATAAAAACATTGATGATATGTTATCAAAAAAAAAAAAACATTGATGATAACTCTATATTACATTTACATGAATGTCAGTGCCCAATTATTATTGGTAAGATTGATACTGGATTACCTAAAATGTTGGCGCAACAACTCATACTCAATTGCTTAAAATGATGGTCTGTTAATTGAACAAACGGACTAAAATTCAATTATAGTAGTATTTTTTTTTAGTAAGATTAAAGGAATTATCATCCATGATATGCTGAAAATCTGGGCAGCTCAATCATTAAAATTTGAAACCAGACAAATAACACATTAGGTCGGGCCAGCTGGACGGGTCAACCCATGTCCTGGATTCTTCCATTTCTTCGGACTCGCCTGACTTCTGCCCACATCACATTCCTCAGCAAAACACCTTTCCTCCCTGAACCCAGCACTCTTTTTGTCCCTTCGCTCCCTTCTTTTCCAAAATTTACATGCTCGCTTTTGCTGGGGAATCTGTTTCTCCGTCTCTCGAACCTCCTCACTGTCAAGTTTACTTTTTTATTTCAAATTGTGCCCGAACGCTGCAAAGTAGCCGTACCCAGATCTCGCTCATTTTGGGTTTAAATTTCTTATCTGTTACTCGCTCTCTTGCTTGAGGTGCGTTTGGGAACTGGGGTGTTCGTAGTTCTGGCATCAAAGCTAACAGTTCTTGTGCACATATAGAGCTTTGGGGATGACGATGCTAGCGATGATGTACTTTGAAGAAAATTACTTTCTTTTTCGGTTCATCTATGGGCGTATACTATATTACTTTTTAGTTTCTATGTCTCTCTTTTTTTTAGGCAGAAATTTTAACTGCTTGTTGTGCTCGGCTTGGTAAAATAATCTTTGGACACTCTTTTAAGTTTCTCTGTTGACTTAACTTTTAAAACTTCTGTGGTTGTGTGAACTGTGGGCGTTAAAATATGAATTGCTGTTGCGATGGCCAATAAACCCTGTAATTAAATAAAGATGATTACTTTGTATGCTCTTGCATCCCTTACTAGTTTTTGAACGCTGATCACATCCAACAATTTTTTTTTTTTAGAAAGAAAGGATTCTGTAGAAGAAAATGGCATACTCTTGATTATATTGCCTCACTATGTGCTTGCCTTTGGAATGAAGAACTTCATTTTATCTCAAATTTATATTGTCATGAATTTCTGTCTTATTCTATTAGTGGGATGATTAATTTGGATCTTTTGATATTTCAGCAAAATTTATTCTTACTCTTTCCACTGTGCTTGTGGGTTGAAAGTGGAATCTCTAGTGTGTTGTGTCGTCAGATGATTACAAGTGAAGCGTGGTGGAAGAAAATTGTAACATATTCTGGAAAATCTCCTCTTTGGCTGGTAGATACTGGCTTGACATAGTCAGAAGAATTCAGAGCTGGTTTTAGTGCGATATTCTGATAAAAAATAGCTAAAACGGGGTCACTTTGTTGTGTGGCTTCAAGGCCACATGGGTCAAATGCGGACAGTAGGGACTGGTCAATGGGTCCCCATGAGCCCTACTGGCATACCAACACAAGCTTTTCACCACTTCCATCAAGATGGGACTTCAGATTCCAATCTGAAGGGCTGCCATATGATGGTATTGACCGCCGTGGTTCTTCTACTTTATACAGTGAGAAAGACCTTAGGGGCTCGGTGAGAGACAATCGCCTGTATGAGCTTCACTATTCTGCATTGGATGGCACTGAACCTTTCCTTAACAGTCCATCTGACTTCTCTCAGGGTCCTCAGCGAACACCTCCGGTGATACAGGAAATAAGTATTGATGATTATGAAACTGCAACTAGGAAAGGTACTCCTAAAATCAGAATACCCATATCTTTATGTCATAATATGTATAACCACTTTTTAGGCTTTGATGGATGGGTATGAGTTTGAATCTCATTAAAAATGTACATTAGACTTGTTTAATATTTATTTATAATTGATAATTGATTAAATCATCACCTTTTATGGGACCTTAAATGTGAATGAGAATTCCTTGCATTTTTATTGTATTGAAAATTTAAGGTCTAGACAGAAGAAGGCAGGGTGCGTCATGGAGAGTGATGTTCTGTAACTTATAAATTTTTTCCCTTCATAGGATATCCTTCATCCAATCACATTTTTTGAACATTTGAATGGTGTATCATGTAAAACAACCAACCATGTCGATTGAAAGCATTGAAAGAAAGAAAGAACATTTGAGATTGCAGATTCTGACTGATGATTTAGGGTCTAAGTGAGAAAATTCTAGGTTATGGAGGACTAGAAACTGGACATTGAGGTTGGGGTGGAGGAAAAATTTTTTGGTTTGTGATGTTAGTAATCAAAGATGATTTCTGATATGAAAATACTTAGTCTGTCTTTTCAAATAAAAAAAGGAATGCAGGAGAGCTCTTTTTTCCCCTTGGGTTTCTATATTGCTTGAATAGCTATTGTAAATGAGGTTACAATATTTGGCCCAAAAAAATGGGGTTACAAATATGGTTTCTTCATATTATAATTTAAAAATCTCTACTCTTAACATAAAAAAATTGCTGATAGCATTTTAGTGTCCCCTGTACCTTGGAGAATATCCTTTGGACTTAGTTTCTTGTGCTTTCTAGTATTTTTATAGTGCTGCTATCACTGATACCTTACTGAACTACTTCCTTCTCATTTTCACTGAACAGATTCAGGCCGTATATTTTTTGCATCAACCAAGGAGGTAACATTTTCACATAAGGACTGTTATATATAACAAAAAGAATGTTCTCTTGGCATTTAATCAACACATGCCTCTGAAGTAATTGGCTTAAAATGAATTAACATTCATGCAGGGAACATCAGAAAATCCAGATAGTTGGGGCTCTTCTTCATCCCGGTCAGAGAGTAGTGAATCTGAGTTATTTGCAAAATCACACTTACTGGCCCAGCAGAATTTTTCTCGCCACCAGTCTTTTATCTCTAAACCCATTCATCCTTTGTCCTTTCCTGACCTTACTTATACAAGGGAAGCCTTTGACCCTGCAGTTACAGGTTTCTCTGAGGCTGGTGCTTCCACTTCACTCGGAGATTCTCAGCAATGTAGTAGTGCCAGCAGCAGTCTTGATTTTGCAGATGCTACTGTGTCTTTTGAATCTGAAACACCAGCTCGCCCTCATAATGATGGATTCAGATGCAGTTTGTGTGAGAGGCTTCTGTCACAGAGATCACCTTGGAGTTCCCGACGAATTGTGAGAAGCAGAGACATGCCTACAACTGGGGTTCTTCCTTGTCGCCATGTCTTCCATGCAGAATGTTTGGAGCAGGCGACTCCAAATTTGCGGAAAAATGACCCCCCTTGCCCTCTCTGTAGCCGAGTGACAGAAAGTTCACCTGATCAACGGGGTCCTCTGAATTTGAAGAATGGTTTTCCTAGGATTAGGCCGTTTTATGAGGACGGACACTCAAGACCTTGGGGCTGTGCGCAGGTGGGTGATTGTGTTGAAGGGGCCTTGCATGCACCACCACGCAACACGATGTTCTTACTAAATCGGAATCGCATAAAAAAGAATCTTTCTTTGAAGGGTAATTCAAGCAAGGAATTTCCCGGCAAGGTGAAGAAAAGCGAATCATATTCTTCACATTTGTTCGGTGGAAGCTCAGCTGATCAGGAAGCAGTTGGTTACTCAAATGCAAAAGCAGGCCCAAGCATGAGCAAGTGATCAGAAAAGGTCTCCGAAATTTGAAACTTGGAAGTTCACAAGCTAACAATGGTGCTACTTTAGCTCAAAAGTGAAATTATAGTAGAGGTGGTTCATAACCCTGTGATGGTTTTGTATGTACCATATTGATCTGGTGAATGTGTCTTGGAAAGTTGAAAGAGTGTAATCGTCTACTGCTTTTGCTTTCAGAATGAAATTTAGTCAAGATTTCAAACCTGTTCTAATTTTGGCAAATTTGAATTGAGCGATTATTGCATCATGCGTGGTCATCTTCACACACACAATCTATATTCTACATGACATGTAAGGTTGCAAAAGCGCTCTAGAGTTAATGACCACCGATTCCCCGGTTCCAGATGTTAAATGCGAAGAAAGTAACGCATATGTAAATTACCCTTGTGAGAGAACAACTTATTTCGTTGTGTTTATACGTTTATTCGTCATAATTTGTTGTTTACAGATATGACCAAACTAGGTATCTCTGGCTCCCTTCCGGTCTGCCCTCATATAATACAAGTGATAAATTATACTCCCCTTATTTTTAACATAAAACCTAATCATTAAGTTAATTTTGATCATAAATATAAGATTTATTTATCATATTTATTAATTTTTTTTAAATGACCTCTATAGATATTCTCTCGACCATAATCAAATAAATGGGGGGAAAGATATTAAGAAAGATTATTGTAGTGTTTTAGGAGAAGCATATCATATTTTTTATAATTAACTAACTTACCTAACTTCCTTAATCTAATCAAATTAGTTAAATATGTCTTATATTAAGGACAGGAAGAGTATTGATTTATCAATATCTCGGGAAAGCAGGAGTGTGATGCCAATGATTTTGTAGTCTAGAAATATGAATACTCTACTACAAATAGAGGCCGCATGTTTGATCTCGTTGCATGTGTTTATAACTTAAAACTGTTAGCATATTTCCCTTTGGATTTTTTTTTTTAAAAAAAAGAAAAGAATGTGAAAGTGTGAATGTGAATGTGTGACTCGTTAGTTTTCAAGGGTATGATATAAGGCATGGTCCATAGCCAATGAGGCCTAACCAACGTTGGGTTTCCCTTCGTAGGCCTCCATTTGGGAACAAGCCTGGACCGACAAAATAGCAAGTATCGTTTCCTAGGTGTTTGGTAGGAGGAACTAGGAAGGGGAAAACGTTTTCTCTTTCAATTTCTAACACAAAATATTCAACAGGAAACATCTCTTTTCCAATACTATTTTTCATTCACGATCACAGGGAAAAATGTTCATTCTACAGCATCCGCCATAATAATATATAAACTAAAGTAGTTGTAGTTTAAAAGATGGGTACTTTGGCTACTTAATAGTAATTTCCACTACCGTACTGTTAGATCACAGCAAAACCTACCAAAAAATCTGAATGGTATAGGTGGAGTCCAAGTGGATCCTGAGGCAGGAGGAACCGACCTAAGTCCATTTCTGGACCAGGCGTTGTACCTCAATTTTACGCTCACCATATTAATACAGGACCCCATCTATCACCCAACACCCTATACTTGAAAGGGCCCTTTCTCCTCCCTTCCCATGTGCTCTGTTAGCCTGTTTCCATTGCTCCGGACACCGTATTCAACAGTAGGCCCTTGAACATTATACACAGGTTTGGTTTCTGAATTGTCTTGTGTGCTAATTCAATTTAATTTCTTCTTTCTCCGCTATATATCACACTTAGCTAGGGTTCTCTTTTACCTATATTAGCTGTTAGCCACCCATGTTCTTTCCAATGCCCATTTACCCCAATGATGATCATATATTGTGACAGACACATAATCCCCTCTGAAATAAAGGTTTTCGGCTAGCAGGGTAAGATCTTTCAATTGTGCTAGTGACCGCTTGTCTCTTTGTTGCTGGCTTATTGCCATTCAATTTTAAGAAAGCAACTTGTTTTACATATATGAAGCATATGAAACATTAAATGAAAAGGACCGACATGGATTGAGCAAAGGATGGGTGTACTAATTCTGTTTTACGCATTTCTCTCCTTTGTAAGTCGACTCCATATTACATCTTAATTCAAAATATTAAGTTTGTGAGTTTATGGGTCTTTGCATTTAAATACCTCTTCTTCAATCCAATTCTCTGTAATGCAGGATTCCTCTACTCCCTTATACCTCATCAAATCCACTCATGTACACCTGACATTTCAAGTTTCCAACATGCCAGTATGATACGCAGGACATGTTTTAGGTGTATTTAGTTCTTTTTATTAGTTACCCTATGGGTTTGAAAATTTTGATGGTGTAATAGAAAAAATGGTAAAAATAAATATGATGATGGAATTTAGTGTAGTTAGTAAAAATAATAACTGAAAATCTGTTCACGCTTAGTACATGTTTATCTTTTTATATCATCAGAACGTGGGTGATGTAAGTATCCATCATTACGTTCACGCTTTCGCTACAATTTGCAGTGCATGCAAGTTGTTTGTTTAATTGACTGGATATTCCCAATTCCAATGATCTGCCACAGGTAGTCTTAAATTCCATGGTACTGTTAGTGTGCTGCAAAAGCAAAATAAATGAAAGTAAGAAACGGAGGAACCTTCTCCTTCTCCTTCTCCTTCTTCTTCTTCTTCATTGAGCTGTCACATTGAAATCTGCATATGAAATTCATGATCTCATATGTTTAATTTCTGGTGTAATGCACAATATTGAAAGATCACTAGTCCGGAGTCTACTCGTGCACTACACATAGAGCATTAAATGGAGGGCATGTGAGCCTCCATGTGACGGTGGGAAAGTCCCTGAATTGCTTTCTCACTTGTAAATGGAGGGACGTCTGAATCAAAAGCCACCAAGGCATGAACATGTTTTCTTCTTCTACACGTGGTATTGTTCAAAAAGATATGCCTATTGCTAAGCTTTTTCTAAAATTTCTTTAGCTATTACATAGCAACCTAACTTATTGCTTAGTGCTCACTCCTCAGCTTTCCCACTCACATCATCATCACATGCCTTCATTTAATACTTCAAGCTAAGTCTGTCCTGTCGAATCACACACTCTTCTAAACTAATCAATATAGTATCAAGTTAATTAGTCATAAATATCTTGTTAATTTGAAGTTTGAGTCGAATTGTCGATGATAATCTCATCTCCCTTTTTGGTTTTTGTTACGATTAGTGAGAAGATAATGTGGTTGGTGATTGATTGATCCTTATGTGTTGTGTGGTTCAAAGCTGTACTCCCTATAATAACAGTGAAAAGGATGTTTGCATCTTTTGCTGTGGATGAGCACTAGCTCTTTTGTGTATATATGTGAACTTGTTAGTGGTGGGAATAGTTATAAGTCAGATATATTTGGATTTGCTGAGCAAAGAAACACAAACAATTCACTTTATATATACATACATACAAACATACATATATAAATGTACACGATCAGATAACCAGACGAAAGTTTTTCTTTTTTGACCTTTTTTTATCATATATTGACATCTTGTGATGTTGTAATAGTTAACAGAGGTGAATGAAATTGATTAGCATAGAAAATTCAAGTATTTCTCCGGTTCTAAATATAAAACCCTTATACTGGTATATATAAGGGTTTTATATTCAAGACAGGAGGAGTAATATTTTATTCTTAATTACAGTTCAAGTCATTTCACTTGCTTTTCCTTCCCTGTTTTTTCCCACCACTTCTTTTAGAACACTCAAATATTATCATCCAAAGCGTTATCATGTGCCAAAGAACTAATTGCTTCAGATTTGCAGTTAGTGTATATTTTTATTAAAATTCCAGAGTTAGATCCAAACTAAAAGATTGCTGTGAACTACTTGTGGGGTAAGGAAAAAAATAAATAAACAAAGAGAATAAAATGGAAAGAAGTTTTTTGTATAAGCAAATTCATTTTGTTTTTTGATGTCACTGTGTCTTTCATTTTGAGAGGAATTTTAAATTCAGATTATTTCTATTATTAAATTTAAGTTACTCTTATAATTATATATATACTCCTTTGGTTTTATTTATAGGATAGTAAAAGAAATTTTTCATATAAAGATATAATTTTACCTTTCATTTATTATTGTGTTGAATTTCTTTTCATAGAGTATAGTATATATTAAATAAAAAATAAAAATTATTAAATTGTAAATTATAGTAAATAAAGTTTAAAATTTTTTTATGTAAAATATGTTAAAAGTAATTAATAAAAAAACACGGGATGAGGGCACCAAGCCACTAAAGACAAACGGTCAAAAATTGAGTGAAATAGACAACAACATGTGATGCGTAACCATCAGCATTGTCACGTGTCTGCGTAAAAGGGCGAAAGAAAGAGTTTTGTACGTTTTTGACGTTTCTCTTTGAAAATGATTGAAATTTCAGTTTGCTGACCTTGAAAGTTACCCTGCATTTGCGCATAATCACTTTTCACATAAATTCTTTCATTTTGGAATAATCATATTAAGAAATTATTAAATAGTCTGGATTACATAATCTCTTAGTAATTGATTGACCTTTGTATAAAAAATTAGCGATTGCATATTCAATACCAAGATAAGACAAAGCTTTGAAAATTCAATATTTATTCTTTAATTATATATCGTCATTTGTTTGTTAAATACCCTGGCCAAAAAATCTGTTTGTTAAATGAAAAAATAAAATTATATATTACAAAAGGAATAATACTTACATCAAGTTCCCCCTATCTGTTATGTCAAATTCTCTAATCACACATGATTATATGTCCTATTTTTAAAATATTAACATTTAATAACATTTAATTATACTATTGTATTTTATAGAAAAAATCTCTAAAAAAATTTGAATACATAAAATTTCAATTTTGACAGATGACACTTGAAAATGACAATAAAGAAAGTGAGGCCTGAATTGATATTTTAGAAATGTTGTAAAATTACCTATATGTGCTTTTTTGTGACATGAATGACATTAATAAAATTAGAAATGTCAAGTGTTGAATTAAGAATAACAAGTTTCATAACTTTTTTTTGTTCTCCATAACTTTAGTTAGTTGGTTAATAAGTTATAAACTAAAAATAACAAGTATGGAATAGACAATAACAAGTATTAAATTAAAAATTATAAGTTTCATAACTTTTTTGTTCTCCATTATTTTAGCTAGTTAATTAATTAACAAGTTATGAACTAAAAATGATAAGTGTTGATTTAGCAACAACAAGTACGAAGTTGAAAATGACAAGTTTAATAATTTTTTTGGTCACAAAAGCATATATGGATAATTTCACAATATTTCAAAATGTC